ACATAACTACAAGAGATATCATCAAGAAACAGTGACATTGTATGTAGATAAATTTGCATCATCAGTTTCCGTTCATTATCTTAGTAACGGTTGCACATATTCAACTCAAATTCGACATATGGATATGTCATGAGAAATACAGGTCAAGTTTGATTTGGTCATGGTTCGATGATTTTTGGCAGAGTTATGCCCCTTTCACTTTGAAAATAATATGAAATTTTCAGTTTTCGCTTATTATCTCCCAAACGGTATTACACATTCAACTCAAACTTTACATATGCATACGTCAAAGGAATGCGCAGGTCAAGTTCGAATTTGGTCATGGTTCAATGATTTTTGGCAAAGTTATGACCCTTTCACTTTGAAGATAATATGAAATTTTCAGTTTCCGTCCATTATCTTCCCAACGGTATTACTTCTTCAACTCAAACTTTACATATGCATACGTCAAAGGAATGCGCAGGTCAAGTTTGAATTTGGTCATGGTTCAATGATTTTTGGCAGAGTTATGCCCCTTTCACTTTGAAAATAATATGTAATTTTCAGTTTCCGTTCATTATCTCCCCAACAGTATTACACATTCAAGTCAAACTTATCATATGAATAAGTCAAGGGAATGCGCAAGTAAACTTCGATTTTGGTCATGGTTCAATGATTTTTAGCACAGTTATGCCCCTTTCACTTTGAATATTTTATGAAATTTTCAGTTTCTATTCATTATCTCCTCTAGGGTATTACACATTCAACTCAAATTTGACATATGGATATGTCAAAGAAATGGGCAGGTTAAGTTTGAATTTTGTCATGGTTCAATGATTTTTAGCCTACCTGTCACAAAGTGAGAGGGTGAGCTTTTGTGATCGCTTTTCGTCCGGCGTCCGGCCGTAAACTTTTGCTTTAAATGACATCTCCTCATAAACCACTGAGCCAATTTCATCCAAACTTCACAGGAATGTTCCTTTGGTGGTCACCTTTAAAAATTGTTCAAAGAATTTAATTCCATGCAGAACTCTGGTTACCATGGCAACCGAAAGAAAAATCTTTAAATATCTTCTATTAAACAACCCTAAGAGCTAGAGCTTAGATATTCGGCATGAAACATCTTCTAGTGAGTGTCTACCAAGTTTGTTCAAATAAAAGCCCTGGGGTCATAATTGGCCCCGCCCCAGGGGGTCATTGATTTTCCCTATATGCATATAGTAAAAACTTAAAAAATTTTCTTTTAAAAACCCAAAGAGCTAGAGCTAAGGTATTTGGCATGAAACATCTTCTAGTGAGTGTCTACCAAGTTTGTTCAAATAAAAGCCCTGGGGTCAAAATTGGCCCCGCCCCAGGGGGTCATAGATTTTCCCTATATGCATATAGTAAAAACTTAAAAAATATTCTTTTAAAGAACCCAAAGAGCTAGAGCTAAGATATTTGGCATGAAACATCTTCTAGTGAGTGTCTACCAAGTTTGTTCAAATAAAAGCCCTGGGGTCAAAATTGGCCCCGCCCCAGGGGGTCATTGATTTTCCCTATATGCATATAGTAAAAACTTAAAAAATCTTCTTTTAAAGAACCCAAAGAGCTAGAGCTAAGATATTTAGCATGAAACATGTTCTAATGGGTGTCTACCAAATTTGTTCAAATAAAAGCTCTGGGGTCAAAATTGGCCCTGCCCCGGGGGTCATTGATTTTCCTTATATGTGTATGGCAAAAACTTAAAAATCTTCTTTGAAAAAACCCAAATAGCTAGAGTTTAGATATAAAGCATGAAACATCTTCTAATCAATGTCCACAAAGTTTGTTCAAATAAAAGCCCCTGGGTCAAAATTGGACCCGCCCTGGGGGTCATTGATTTTCCTTTTTTGTGTATAGCAAAAACTTAAAAATCTTCTTTGAAAAAACCCAAATAGCTAGAGTTTAGATATTAAGCATGAAACATCTTTTAGTAAATATCTACAAAGTTTGTTTAAATAAAAGCCCAGGGGTCAAAACTGGCCCTGCCCCAGGGGTGTCATTGTTTTTAACTATATGTGTATTGTAAAAACTTAAAAAATCTTTTAAAAAACCCAATGAGCTAGAACTTAGATGTTTAGCATGAAACATCTTCTTATGGATGTCTACCAAGTCTGTTCAAATAAACAAATAAAAGCCCTTGGGTAAAAATTGGCCCGGGAGGGGGTGCTATATACAGGTGAGCGACCTCAGGGCCATCATGGCCCTCTTGTTTACAGAGTTATACCCCTTTAACTATGAAAAAAAGGAAATTTTCATTTCCCATTCATTATCTCCCCAACAGTTGTACATATTCAACTCAAATTAAAGATATGGATATGTCATAAGAATGCATTGGTCAATTTCGAATTTGGTCATGGTTTGATGATAGCTAACAGAGTTATCACTCTTGAACTTTAAAAAAAAATCAGAAATTTTAAGTTTCCGTTCATTATCTCCCCAATGGTTATACACATTCAACTCAAATTTGACATATAGATACATCTAGTAATAAGCAGTTCAAGTTTGAATTTGGTCGTGGTTCAATGATTTTGAACAAAGTTATCTCTCTTGAATGTTGGAAAAATTTTGAATTTTTAGTTTCAGCACTCATACTTTTGTGGAAATGTATGTAGCCATTATTTTCGCTACAACTATGGAATATGCAATTTACAAAAGGTTTACACTGAATAGTTTCAGTGCCTTAAACTTTATATAAAAATTGTTTGTGTGAATATTGAATAGTTTTAAGGGCTTTGAACTTGACATTTGGAACGAAATATTATAACATATGAAATTTTGGCTGCATGCGGGGGCATCCATGGCGTGACAACATATTTCTAGTTACACTTTGAACTTTGTCCAATTCCAAACTTTGATTTATCTTATTGATGAAGGACAAATAATTCAATAACATTTGAGAAAAATCTATAAACATAACTGCATTATCCATGTGTGCAAAATTATTTACAAAAAACCTGACAAGCATGTTGGTCCGTAGACCAAATGGTTTCCGAGTGATAACTAAAGAACCCTTAGGCCTAGGAACTTCAAACTTGGTATGGTGATTGGTCATGACCAGTAGATGACCCCTATTGATTTTGGGGTCAAAGGTCAAGGTCACATTGACCTTGAAAGTAAAAACGGTTTCCGATCAATAACTAAAGAACGCTTAGGCCTAGGAACTTCAAACTTGGTATGGTGATTGGTCATGACCAGCAGATGACCCCTATTGATTTTGGGGTCGATGGGTCAAAGGTCAAGGTCACATTGACCTTGTAGGTAAAAATGGTTTCCGATCAATAACTAAAGAACGCTTAGGCCTAGGAACTTCAAATTTGGTATGATGATTGGTCATGACCAGCAGATGACCCCTATTGATTTTGGGGTCAAAGGTCAAGGTCACATTGACCTTGTAGGTAAAAACGGTTTCCAATCAATAACTTAAAAATGCTTAGGCCTAGAAACTTCAAACTTGGTATGATGATTGGTCATGACCAGCAGATGACCCTATTGATTTTGGGGTCAAGGGGTCAATGTCATATTGACTTTGTACTTAATGAAGGTTTCTGACCAATAACTCAACAACTCAAGTTGCCGTGGTTGATATTTTTATATTAAACTAAAATGCTTTTGGTATACACATTTGAAGGTCTTATGTAATATAACAACTTGGCTGTCATTAATGACCAAACGGACATTTTGAATGATTTAGATATGACCTTGACCTTTAAATGACCTTGACAGTCAAATGATTGAATTTTGCTGATATTTTCTTAGTTTTCTTTATTTATGGAAATAATGCATACTAATACACAAAACAACAAGTGTGATTAGACAGACCTATTTAAGTTCGCAAAAAAAAAAGGAAAAACTTAAATTTTTTGTTTACTTTTCTTTTTAAAGATATCCATAAACTGTTAAGTTTTACGCTTATAGAAAAAGTGAAAAAGTCCAGTGTTGCCCCTGCCCGGTGGTGCCTCTCGGTTAAATCCTAAAATCAAACCATCCTTTACATATATCATTGTCCATCGAAGTAAAACAAATTGTTGATTTTTGTTAGTTAAAAAATGTTTGAAGTTATTATAAACACATAAACTGGAATTAATTAATAGACTAAATTTTAAAAGGGCAAGATTTACCAGCTTACCTGCCAGTTATATAGACAACGCCATGTTTGTTCTAGAAATCAAGAATATTAACTACTATAGTATTGTTTTTCCAGCAGTTAAAATTAGAAACCGCATCCCTTTTAAAATTGTGAAAGCTTGCCAATGATTGGCTGTTTGAAAGGTCACTGTGCTTATTATGAATTTGTTCATGTGACCAACAGGAACCATACACAGCTGTAGGTTCAAGCCATGCAAGTGTTGTCTGATTCTTCATGAAGGAAGCTTCCAGCTAGCTTATAGAATGCTCGTGGACCTACTCAGGTGCCTGTTTTGCCTGCAATGATGTACAGAAAGGCAACTGAGGCCTCTCCACCAGTTATGCTGGAAAGTCACCAAATGACCTATATTGTATTGGTGCAACATAAACCTCCCCCCCCCCACACACACACACACAAAATATTGAAAAACCAAAACACACTTCACTTATAGACCATTGTAACAGTTTGCTGACATCCAAACAGTTACCCATAATCACTGCAGCTTGAAATCTTTGCTAGGAACATAAAAAATTAATTTTTGAGAAATTTTTATCCTACAAGCAATGCACATTGCATTTATGCTGTCACCTGAGTCTGGCTGGAAAATTGCAATATGACTTTGACTTAAACTGCCTCCTTAACCCACAAAAAAAACAAAAAAAAACAACAAAAAAACAACACTTTTTAAGCTGCCTTTGATATTTTTAGGAGAACTTACATGTACTATATGTAGTTGGAATTGGTTATGTGATTAACCTTTTAATTACCATTTTTAAATTGTTGAATTTGAAAAAAAAAATTGATTTAAAAAAAAAACATTCTTTTATTTCTTTATTTCTCAGTAAGAAAGTTGTATTTCCTTATTTTTCAGTAAGAAAGTAGAAAAATTTCTAGAGTCGGGTGAGCATGATACCCTGTCACTACCACCATGCACGGGATTCCAGAGAAAATTAACCTACCAGTCTTTACAAGGAAAGTAAGTTTTGCTTATTTTTGTCAAGTTATGGTTTCACTCATGAGATTTTTAGGACCTCTTGCTTCTTTTCTAGGAAGCTGATTGTTGCTAAGGCTCAACACTTCCAAGAAAGCCGACTGTTTTCTAGACTTGCTTCTATATTTGGTTCCTTCATTTGACGGTGAGTTGCTCACCAAAATTAGAGTAGCCCAGTCCCAGTTGTCATTGATTTTCCTTATATGTATATAGTAAAAACTTTAAAAAAAATCTTCTTAAAGAGGTAGAGCTTTGATATTTGGCATGAAACATGTTCTGGTGTATGTCTACCATGTTTTGTTTTTTTAAATAAAACCCCTAGAGTCATAATTGGCCCCATCCGTCATTGATCTTCCTTATAATGTAAATCCTGTATTTTCCACAATGTTTAAATTTTTATATGCCCCAAAGAATTTTGGGCATATTATGTTATACCCCCTGGCGTCCGTCTGTCCGTCTGTCTGAGTATAATGTTGGCTACTAAATACCCAACAACTACCAATCCTACTCACTCCGTATGTATTGTTGGGTATTTTTAATGAATTTTGATATATTGTTGGGTACTTTTTTTTCACAGTAAAATACCCAACAAGACTACAAATGTAAGGATGTTCGTCCGTCCGTTAGCAATTTGGTTTCCGGAGCATAACTTAAGTTCCATTTGGCCCACAGTGTTCAAACTTCATAGGATGATTGTCCATATTTGGTAGAAGACCCCTATTGATTTTAGGGTCAAAAGGTCTAAGGTCAAGGTCACTATTACCTTAAAACTGAAAACAGTTTCCGGAGCATTATTTAAGTTCCATTCGACCCATAATGTTCAAACTTCATAGGATGATTGTCCATATTAGGTAGAAGACCCCTATTGATTTTGGGGTCACAAGGTCAAAGGTCAAGGTCACTATTACCTTGTTACTGAAAACAGTTTCCAGAGCATAACTTAAGTTCCAATTGGCTCACAATGTTCAAACTTCATAGGATGATTGTCCATATTGGGTAGAAGACCCCTATTGATTTTGAGGTTACAAGGTCAAAGTCACTTTTACCTTAATACTGAAAACAGTTTCTAGAGCATAATTAAAGTTCCAATTGGCCACAATATTCAAACTTCTTAGGATGATTGTCCATATAAGGTAGAAGACCCCTATTGATTTTGGGGTCACAAGGTCAAAGGTTAAGGTCATTATTAATTACTTAAATATTAATCAACCTACAGCTGTAAAATTTTATAGGATGAACAGCTAATTCCCATGTCTTACAAATGCTTCATCCTTACTTAAAAAAAAAACACTTTCGGGCATATAATGCTCCGTCTAGCGGTGCTCTTGTTTTATACTTTCCGGTGTCCTAACCTTCTCTTCTCTTCTTCTCTTCAACCGGTTCTTGTTTGAAAAGTTGCAGCATGATTATCCCCCTTGATTTTATGGGTTGCAACACGATGACAGGATTATCTCCCTGGCCGTTTTGGTAAGGTGATGAATCATCAGATAAAAAGAAAAAATAAGACTGTTAAAATCACATTGCAGGTATGGAGGGGAACTTTATCTTCAGAGTAAAACAGGGGAAAACAAGGAAAGGTTTATTGTTGTGACAAAGATTAAAGGTGAAGATGAGATGAAAAAGATCGAGGACAGTAAACAAGCTCAGGATCTGGTATGTAGACAGGAATAGTAAGGAATATATGAGCCGTGTCACGACAAAACCAACATATTGAGTTTGCGACCAGCATGGATCCAGACCAGCCTGCGCATCCGCGCAGTCTGGTCAGGATCCATGCTGTTCGCTATCAGTTTCTCTTCTTGCTATAGGGTTTGTAAGCGAACAGCATGGATCCTGATCAGACTGCGCAGAAGCGCAGGCTGGTCTGGATCCATGCTGGTTGCAAACCCATTATGTTGGCTTTGTCATGACACAGGTCATTTTTGGAATATTTGAACCTTTGGATTTTCATATATCTGGTAAATTTGGCAAGAAATGAAAAAAGAGAAGAACATAAAGATCATAAATTGAAGTTTGTATTTCTATCATGTTAGGGACATACAAAAATGTTTGATTTTTGTGCGGTAGATGATTACATCCGGGTACAGTGCCTGCAAGACTACATTCAGTTGAATTTGGGTTCAAACTTTTTCTTAAGCTAACAAATAATGTATATGCAGAAATTCTTCAAAAGTACTTTGTTAGGAAACATAGTTAACTTTCATCCCTTGTTATTTCACAAACAATAAAAGATATCAAACTGTATTTAGGAAACTACAGTTGATGCAGCAATAACATCTACTTACTGACATATTTTGCTGTTTAACTAAAGATAGATTTTTATGAAACTTTGAGTAGAACTGGTAAAAATCTTGTTTATTTTTGCAACATAACTTTCAAGATTATAATGTAATATGTCTTGGAATTGTTGATGAAGCATATCATTAAAAAGTATGCAGATATGATATTTATTGTTTTCAGGCTGAAGTTGATGCTGCAGTTGGGTTTACTCAAGTGATTAAGATGATCTCACAGAGTGTAAGTTCTTATCCTTTATATTTAATAGAAGTGGCCCTGACATGGTGGTTAAGGTGGTTGACTTTAAACCACTTGTCCGTCGCCCCTCACTGCATTCTGGGTTTGAATCTCACTTCAAATTCTTTCAAGTGAGGAAGCTATCCATCTACCTTTATGAATGTCAGTTGTTCTACTTGGTTACCTGAGTGTCTGAAATTATGCACAGAGAGGCAATTGACGTCCTCCTCCAGTGAAGATAGTCTGTCACCATATGACCATTGCAGTGTAGGTGTGACTTATAACTGAAATATATAATTATATATATTTATAAATAAAGTTATAAATTTGAACTTTCTTCATTAGTTTTTAGAAAGGATCCTTAAGTGATTCCTTAAAATGTGTTTATAATTATGCCTCTCTTTGAAGAAAAGGGGCTATATTGTTTTGCTAATGTCAGCGGTCTGTCTGTCAGTCAGTCGGGTTGTCCGTCGGTAGACCACATGGTTTCCGCTGATTATCTTGAAAACTTTTTATTACAAATTCTTCATATTTCACATAGTGATTGGTCTTAACTAGTAGATGACTCCTACTGATTTTAGGGACTCTAGGTCAAAGGCACTGGAGCATTAAATGTCAGAATGGTTTCTGCTCATTATCTTTCTTACAATTCATCACAAAGTCTTCATATTTCACATATTGATTGGTCATAACTAGTAGATGACCCCTATTGTTTTTGGGGTCACTGGGTCAAAGGTCAAGGTCACAGGGGCCTTGAATGGTAGTATGATTTCCGCTTATTATCTTGGTTACTATTTATCACAAAGTCTTGGTATTTCACATATTGATTGATCATAATTGGTAGATGACCCCTATTGATTTTGGGGTCACCAGGTCAAAGGTCTAGGTCAAAGGGTCCTTGAATGGTTACCTCTTCAACTGTGTGTCTTTAAGCTTATAGCTTCCTTCCTAAACAATAGAACTAAAATAAATTCTGTATAAACTAAACCCTCTACAGATAGTGTTACCACTGGATCTCTGCAAATAGTGTTATCAGTAGACCATTGCAAACACTCTTAATATGAAAGTGACTAAATTCTTGCATTATATATATGGCAAGTTCAAGTGGTAGGTCACAATGTGTATTAATGTTACTTATTTTAGCATTAATTTCAGGTCAAGCTTGTGGTATTTCATGAATATATCTGTTTTTGCATTATATTCAGGGCAAGCAAGTAGGCCACAGTGTGCACTAATATGATTGTTTTTGTATTATATTCAGGGCAAGCTAGTAGGCCACAGTGTGCACTAATATGATTGTTTTTGTATTATATTCAGGGCAAGCAAGTAGGCCACAGTGTGCACTAATATGATTTTTTTTGTATTATATTCAGGGCAAGTTAGTGGTAGGCCACAGTGTGCACTAATATGATTGTTTTTTATTTATATTTTAGGGCAAGTTAGTGGTAGGCCACAATATGATGCTAGATATTGCTCACACAATTAACCAGTTCATGTACACTTTACCAAAGGTAAGTTGCCAACTTGACAGTAAACCTGTGCTTATGTATGATGCTTTAAGCCTCGGTCTCACTTACTCCCGGCAGAGCCCAGGACCATCCCGGTAAGTTACCGGGATGATCCGGGACGATCCGGGATGAAATTATTGTTGCGGTCACACTTACCCCGGCAGCACTACGGTAGTTCCCTACTAACCACCCAGGATGCGCTCCGGATCATCCAGGCAGAGCCCAGGTGAAGCTACGGTTCATGCCGGTGCTTCGCCGGTCGTTCCCGGATGACGCCGAAAGAGCCCCGGTTGACCCAGGCAGAGCCCCGGTCGATCCAGGCAGAGCCCCGGACGATCCAGGCAGAGCCCCGGTAGAACCCCGGTGGATTGAAAACGCCCGAAAATGATAACATTGATACATATTTTTTATTTAATATAATATCTATTGTTCCAGAATAGTAATTCATGATGATTTTCTGAAAAATCCTTATGCCATACTGGATAGAAAGGAAATGGGAAGGCTTTTGATACAAACAAGTTCAATCATCGCAAATTGTCCTTATTCTTTTGAAATGATCCCGGCTTTGCCGGGGCTCTACCGGGATCAACCGTAGCTCTACCTTTATCCTCCGGGGCTCTGCCTGTAGTTACCGGGGCTCTGCTGGCATATACCGGGGCTCTACTGTAGCTCTACCGTAGCTCTACCGGCTATATCATACCCCGGATCATCCCCGGTTTGTGCCGGCAGAGCTACGGTGCTTTCCCGATATAACCCCGGTTGTTCCCAGCAGAGCTAAGGATGAAGCCGGCAAAGCTATACCTTCTCGGACCACCCTGGTGATATTAAATATTTTATTCCATCCGGGGTTGAATGCCGGATGTTCCCGGATCATCCCGGATCATCCAGGACGTTGCCGGCAGAGTAACGGATGTACCCCGGTTGTTCCCGGTCGTACCCCGGTCGTTCCCGAATCACCCCGGACGTCTACTGGGGCTCTGCCGGGATGTAAGTGAGACTGTAGCTTTAAGTATACAGGATACTGTATTCCTAAAAGTTATTTCACACTTTTTAAGTTAGCACTTTTTGTGTTGGGCACATTTTTGCCGTTGTTTGTAACTGTGAAAATGTCACATGTAACAAATTCACAAACATTTTTAGCTTCATTAAATTAGATGAATAGTAAGTAATTTTATGTCAAATATAATCATGTTTAAAAGGGCCTTTGTATTTGGCTTCTCTCTTTTACCATGGCATTTAAAGGGACTTCACTGAGGTTTTTTTGACATGATGGGACTGGAAATATATTTTTTGATTAATGTTCTATTTGATGTATGTCTAAACCAATAACTTATGTACAAAATTTCAGACCATTCGCCCACTTCTTTTTTCCAGAATTATCATTCTAAATATGGAAAATGACTCTAAACTGAAAAACGTTGCAAATCTTTTCGCCTAAATCGGGCTTAAGATAGCACACATATACAACTTTCAACTTGTTTTGGATATATTTTATCATTATCTTTCACACATCTTTCTGTTTTAAAGTGTTCATGCTGATATTTGTAAGAAAATTCAAATTTGATATTTTTAGGCTTTTGGACCTCAGTGGAGTTCCTTTAAGAGGTCATTATTTTAAAATTGTGTTCAGAAGGTTAATGTATAGACCGGCTGTTTTAGCAGGCCTGTTTCTTGTGATAAATAGTATGCTTGGAGCTGCCTCTCTTGTATAGACCAGCCTAATTTATGAAATACCACATACATTATTAACAATAGTCTTATGAGAAAAATATAAAATGAAACTAATGTAAAATTTGTAATCTTTATTTTCTCAGGATTATGAAGAATTCAAATCAATGTGCAGATGTGTATTTCCAAGGTAAACCTCTTTTATGACTCTATATGTATATTTCGAGTTTTATCTTCTTTACAACATCTTTAGTACGTAGGGTTATAACTAGACTAGTTAAAGAATGGCCAAGCTATCATCTGTGCTTTTTAGCTCGACTATTCAATAAGAATAAGTAGAGCTATTGTAGTCACCCGAGCGTTGGCGTCAGCGTCTGCGTCAGCGTATCCACTTATGTTAAAAGTTTTTGTAATAGTTCAAATATTTTCAAAGTCCATTGACATATGGCTTTGAAACTTTGCACACTTGTTCACCATCATGACCCCAACCTGTAGACAGGAGGAGGTAACTCTATCAAGCATTTTGACAGAATTATGCCCCTTTTTCAACTTAGAATTTACGTTAAAGTTTTTGTAATAGTTCAAATATTTTCAAAGTCTATTGACATATGGCTTGGAAACTTTGCACACTTGTTCACCATTATGACCCCAACCTGTAAACAGGAGGAGGTAACTGTATCAAGCATTTTTTTTTACTATCAAGCACTAAGAATAGTCGAGCGTTGCTGTCCTACCGACAGCTCTTGTTTGTCAACATCTTCATGAGCGTCATCAGTCACCGCATAGTGCTTTGTTCAAGTCTTATGTTCAACTTCATGACTTATTAACCACCAAAGGTATTCAAAAGAAAACTGATTTTTTTTCTTTTTGAAAACCTGTAAAATTACATAGTTCAAGATAATGAATATTTGCTTGCTATTACTTATGTTTTTGTTTCATTACAATACCTTAAAGATTTAATTATAAGCCTGTCTCAATAATAAACAAGGATTCAAAAATAAATGGACATGAAATAAGACTCTAGCTATAGCTACGAGGGTTGTTCAAAAAGAAATAGGACTGCAGCTCTACTGTTCACATTTTTTAATTTACGTACATAATTTTACAAGAAACAAATATTGGAACATGTTCTCTATATACAGTGAAAAAATCAATACAAAATGTTTTCAAATTACAATTCTGTCAAATTTTCAAATGACAAGGGGTACGAAACCCGGCGCACGCTGATGATACAATGAAGTAAAATAACAGTATTTATCAATTAATTAGTATCATTTATTAAAATGTAATTGGGGGAAATTACTACTAAGAATTACCCTTAATCATTATTATATTGATTTAATAAAACCTAGTATATCTAATGAGATACAATAAAATTGTGTTTGATAGAAAAATCTTATATATAATCATTTGGTGAGAACTAAATAAGTAGACCCGCAGCAGACAAAAAAGTGCCGGACAGTCAGCATACTGTATACTGTCGATCCATTTACAGCACTTTTGCAATTGACGTCCAATCAATTTTCGCTTTTATCCACAGACTCCTGTAAGAGATTTTGTATTCGCTGTTTTTTAACTGATTGTACCAGCTAAAAACAAGTGTCCTTATGGCAGGATAATTTTCCTTTCTTAATTTTATCATTTTGTATGTATCTGAAAGAATATTGCCAATTTGTTGGCAGGGTTTAACCATCGCACGAATTTCTGTTTGTTACTGAGTGCTGTATTTGTACATTTAACGCCATGATCACAACTGTTCAAAAATAAATAATTATGCCATTTCATGCCCGAATGACGTCAAATTTAGATATAATGTCACTTAAATATAAATAAATGTGTTGGTGGAATATATGGACAAACAGAGTATAAATTATGGATAAATTAGAAGTACAACTTAGCTTCAATAACTATTTTTATGTGCTGCGCCGGGTACGTGTTACCATGGTTATTCAATATCACAGGAAACGCACGTACATCACAATAAATCAATAAACTTATGCCAAAATTGTAGAAAACATCTCACAACCCCTATACATATGAAAATATTCTAAACTGGATGAAATATGAATATGCAAGACCCTCAGTCCTATTACTTTTTGAACAACCCTCGTATACCAAATAACTAATTTTTTGTATTGAATTATTGATAATGAAGAACACTAAATGATACAGTCATTTTATTTATACTAGAAGGAGGTTAAGAAAATGTTTATTTGAGAATAATTTAGGGGCCCCTGTGGTCGAATTGGTAAAGGTCATTGACTTCAAAGCTCTTGCCTATCACTACTGTAGCTTTGAGCCCCACCTGGGGGTGGTTAAGATATTGTTTTAAAAACCTTTTAAAAGGGCCCCCCCCCCCCCCCCCCCCCCCCCCCCCCCCTGAAAAAAAATAAAAATAAATAAGTAAAAATGTAAAATAAATAAATAAAACACTCACTAGCCACCAAATAAAGACATACGTATACACTTATATCTTCATAAGTGCATCATATAAGAATGTTTTTATATTTCATACACAGTAACCTTATCTTTAAAATGAGTCAGTGAAACTATATTACATTTTCAACTCAAAAATAGGCCAATATTGAAAACAAGCCATTCTGGATAATTAGCTACTAATCTCTTACCAAAACTTATTTAAACCACTGCTTATTCTCAGATTTTTAAGAGTTATTGATCTTGATGAAAAAAAGTATGAAACTTGTTCTCAATTTCATGCCAATTTTTATGCCCCCACAAAGTGGGAGCATATAGCGTTGCACTTGTCTGTCCGTCTGTCCGTCCGTCTGTCCGTACGTCCCGAAATCTTGTGAACGCAACTCCTCATAAACTGGATGGAAGATTTTGCTTAAACTTTAAGGGATGAACAACCTTAATGTGTAGATGGTAGTAAAGGAAGGAATTTTCGTTGCGACCAAATTTAACAGAATTATGGCCCTTTGTTGATTTTTTCATTATATACTATGTAGAAATTTTGTGAACGCAACTCCTCTTAAACCGGATGGCAGATTTTGCTTAAACTTCCAGGGATGAACAACCTTAATGTGTAGATGATAGTAAAGGAAGGAATTTTTGCTGCGACCAAATTTAACAGAATTATGGCCCTTTGTTGATTTTTTTCACTATATACCAGATAGAAATTTTGTGAACGCAACTCCTCTTAAACCGGTTGGCAGATTTTGCTTAAACTTCCAGGGATGAACAATCTTATTGTGTAGATGGTAGTAAAGGAAGGAATTTTTGCTGCGACCAAATTTAACAGAATTATGGCCCTTTGTTGATTTTTTCACTATATACCATATAGAAATTTTGTGAACGCAACTCCTCTTAAACTGGATGGCAGATTTGGCTTAAGCTTCCAGGGATGAACAACTTTAATGTGTAGATGGTAGTAAAGGAAGGAATTTTTGCTGCGACCAAATTTAACAGAATTATGGCCCTTTGTTGATTTTTTCACTATATACCATATAGAAATTTTGTGAACGCAATTCCTCTTTTACTGGATGGCAGATTTTTCTTAAACTTCCAGGGATGAACAACCTTAATGTGTAGATGGTAGTAAAGGAAGGAATTTTTTGCTGCGACCAAATTTAACAGAATTATGGCCCTTTGTTGATTTTTATGCCCCCACAATGTGGGAGCATATAGCGTTGCACTTGTTCGTCCGTCCGTCAGTCAGTCAGTCCGTCCGTACGTCCCGAAATCTTGTGAACGCAACTCCTCTTAAACCGCCTGTCAGATTTTGCTTAAACTTACAGGGATGAACAACCTTAATGTGTAGATGGTAGTAAAGGAAGGAATTTTCGCTGCAACCAAATTTAACAGAATTATGGCCCTTTGTTGATTTTTTCACTAGATACTATGTAGAAATTTTGTGAACGCAACTCCTCTTAAACCGCATGGCAGATTTTGCTTAAACTTACAGGGATGAACAACCTTAATGTGTTGATGGTAGTAAAGGAAGGAATTTTTGCTGCGACCAAATTTAACAGAATTATGGCCCTTTGTTGATTTTTTCACTATATACTATGTAGAAATTTTGTGAATGTAACTCCTCTTAAACCGGATGGCAGATTTTGCTTAAACTTCCAAGGATGAACAACCTTTATGTGTAGATGGCAGTAAAGGAAGGAATTTTCGCTACAACCAAATTTAACAGAATTATGGCCCTTTGTTGTTTTTTTCATTATATACTATGTAGAAATTTTGTGAACGCAACTCCTCTTAAACCGGATGGCAGATTTTGCTTAAGCTTCCAGGGATTAACAACCTTAATGTGTAGATGGTAGTAAAGGTAGGAATTTTTGCTGCGACCAAATTTAACAGAATTATGGCCCTTTGTTGATTTTTAGCTCGACTTTTCTATGAAAAGGGGAGCTATCCTACTCGCCCCGGCGTCGGCGTTGGCGTCACACCTTGGTTAAGTTTTTCGTACCACCCCACTTTATTTCAGAAGTATTACAAGTATGGCTTTGAAACTTACCATACTTGTTCACCATCATAACCTCCATCTACAGACAAGAGTACATAACTCTTGTCAAGGTTTTTGACAGAATTATGGCCCTTTTTTGACTTAGAAAGTGTATTGAGCTTGGTTAAGTTTTTTGTACCACCTCACTTTATTTCAAAACCATTGGAGGTATTGCTTTGAAACTGACCATACTTGTTTACCATCACGACCTTCATCAACAGACAAGAGGACATAACTCTGTCAAGGTTTTTGACAGAATTATGCCCCTTTTTGACTTAGAAAATACATTGAATATGGGTAAAATCCACTTATTGCCTTAACCCTTTGAGATATTGCTTTGAAACTTTTAATGCTATTTCACATCATTACCCCCATCTGTACGCAAGAGAAGGTAACTCTGTCAAGGATTTGTTTTAAAAATTAAGGCCTTTTATCGACTTACAATCTTGGTTAAGTTTTTAGTACCAGTCCACTTTTTGACTGAACTGTTTGAGATATTAATTTGAAAGTTGGAATACTTGTTTACAATTATGATTCCCAAACATGTCCAGGAGAAGGTAATTCTGTCAAAGATTTTATTTGAATTATGGCCCTTAACCTTATAAGGTAACTATAATACTTTCACATACAAAGTCAAATCTATATATTATGCTGATTGTACAAAAATATACTGCTTCCTTGGCATAGATTTCTTGAAAAATTATGTTATTATGTCATTTACCAAGGTGTTCTGAGTGACCTAAAAATACCTTATTCTCTCAAAGTGGGTTTAATACTATTAAATTTATTTAAGGCTCAACTCAGTTTTTTTTTCTTTCTTACCAGCCCTCTTTTGACTTAAACATTTCAAACTTTGCTGCAGTGTTCAAGGGTATCACACAATTCAGTAAAATAATTCTTCACTAAATATCTTAATGCTCATGGCCATTGTTCACTTTAAAAATACAGAGATTCTTGTATTGCCTTTTACTGCAAAAACTTTTTTTATTGGCAAGCAATAAAAAAGTCGAGCGCGCTGTCTTACGGACAGCTCTTGTTAGTTTTCAACTTGTGGCACATGTAGTCCAAAAAATATTTGACCTAGAGTCATAAGATTGACAAAACAGTGGCGTGTGGGGGCATCAGTGTCCTATGGACACATTTCTAGTTTCACTATATACCATATTATATGTTGTCAGTGGGGGCATCCGTGTCCTTTGGACACAGTTCTAGTTTTCTCAATATTTATATTTACATAATTAGTAATTGAATTCTATCGCACTGACATATCTTTGTTACAGGTTGATAGATACCAAGTTAATGTCAAATACTCAACCATTCAAGGTAAAAATATTATTTAGATATTTACAATTACAGAAACTGTTACAGAGGCTGAGTGAACAAAGTCACAGAGTATTTTGTTTGTTTGTTTGTTTGTTTCATTTTACGCCTTTTAGGAAGCACTTGTCTGTCATTGATATAGGTCAAAATCCAACCTGGAATGATGAATTCTTTCATTTAAAGTGTATAAAGCTATATATCTGATGCAAAAATTATTGTTTGAATTTTAAAAAAGTATACTTCCTAAATGCTTGTATGAAATGGCGCATGCACAAATCATTGCTTAATGGGAAAAAAACCCTACTTAAAATAGCAAAATAATATTTTGTTCCGAAACTTTTTATTCTGTTTACATACATTATTCATGTGACAGAGACAACAGAGACATTCTATGTTACAACTTTTTTGGGAAACAACCATTATAATATTGGAACCAATATAATTTAACTGTTAATAAATTTTATTAAAATTTTTCATAAGATATAGATTTATACCCGTTAAGGAAGTTATACAGTTAGGATGGAAAAA